CTATATATTATTGAAGACTTCCTTATATACAAGGTTCATGGTTTGATTCTTTGACACATCATCATCGCCACAAATTAAGATTTTCAAACCATTTCTGTTAATGACACGGGAGACAGCAACATACAACTGGCCATGACTAAACACTGGTTTCTTAAAAAATAAACCAACATGAGATAATGATTGTCTTTGACTCTTATTTATAGTCATGGCGTAAGAGACCATAATGGGAAACTGACGACGCTGGAACTTGAAAGGAATTCTAACATCAGATGGAGTTATTACCATTCTTGGAATCAACACTTTATCACCTGCGTGATCGCCAGTGAGTATCTTACACTCGAGAACATGAGTGGAGAGCTTCGTCACTACCAATCGTGTTCCATTACACAGACCCATAGAATGGTCCATATTCCGCAACAGCATGATCGGAGTTCCAATCTTCAAGTACAACTCATGATTCGGTATTCCAGAACACTTGATACTATTCAAAAACTCGGGCGTATGCAAATCAGGCAAAAAGTCATTATTAGAATCTGATTTGCACGTACTATCAGAGCTCAAGTAAGTACGACCATCTGACAAATTCAAAGATGTCATGTACTCATTGATAGAATCGACAAAGTTTGAATAAATAAGATAAATATAAAGGGTACAAATGCTTACTCCAAGTCCATAATAGAGAATACTATCATTTGTGTCGGAACTCCCTTGACAACTTTGATTTGAATAGGTTGTATTGAAACAACCAAACCAATAATATCTATACCATAATAAAAAAAACGAATTAAACTCAAAATGTAACATTGTAGAACATAAAGAAAAGAATACATATATATATATATATAAAATATATTACCGAATTTATATATTTATTCCTCTTTATAAAATAAAAGTACGAAATAGAACATAAAGAAAAAAATGTTAACTTACCAAACAACATGGCTTCTTCAATATTACGAACATCCATCAAGGTTAGGAAGTTTCTAAACTCAAAACGATGCATAGGAAAATCCCCCTTCCATTTGACAATCTTGGTCATGCCATGGATGATGATCCTCCATTTTCCTATAGTCGATTTATAGAGGCCAATATTGCTTTCAACTTGATAGTTTGTCAAGACATACTTTCCACCTTCTTCAATATCATCAATGAATTTTTTAATATTCACAGGCCGAATTATTCCAGTAATACGTAATCTCTAAAACAATACATGTTGGAGTATTTAAGTATTGAATCATATAATAAATAAATAGAATAAAATAAGTTAAAAATTAATTTTAAATACATCATGATTGTGTGAACATATTACCTCAGAATCATGAAAGATAATCTCTAGTACATTTCGGTAATTACGAACGTCTTCAACCCGTTGGAACATCCGAATTATGCGTAGCTTGATTGGTGGCTTATTGGATCTGTGGATAGCCTTGATGTCTCTAAAATGCAAAGGCATGATGAGATGATGTTAAAAAGCTTCGTAAAAAAGGTTTTATTGATTTGTGTATGATGTAGAATATTATGGTCAAGATTATTCATATATATATAGTAGTCATTATAAAGTTTACGATTGTTGTAGATTTGTATGATATTTGGGGATTATTGATTTGTACTAATCTCATTAAGGGATAACTAGTATGTAACCCGTGCGATGCACGGGCTAGTACATATTTTGAAAAAATTTAAAAAATTAAAAGGTCATTTATTAATAAGTTGTTATAATACGTATGACATTTATAAAGTAAACATAAAATCGTCATTGGCAAAAAATTATACATTATTAAAAACCTCTGAGTGCATATATTTCGCCTTGCTTAAATACACCTCGAAATGCACACATATACGCAGAACATATAATGACAGTTATTTGCGCACCCTACAATATAAATTATACAAAATAAGTTAAATTAAAAAATTACGTATGTTAGTAATACAGATATAACAAATCAAAATATTACCTCACGATCTTGAAAAATGATCTCAAAAAAAATTATTGGATTCCACGTCAAATTTCATCTCAATAATTAGAATTGCTTATTAACAGCATGGAGTGTATCAAATAACTCCCTCGTTTTTTTTAATATTTTCCGAAAGTTCTATGCATTTTTTTTATGAACAGGAATTGGAGAAGTTGATAAAATATGTTATTTATATATATAGGAACCAATTAATATATATTAATTTCAATTAATTTAATTATTGAGAGTGGCTTTTAATTACAAACT